CCCAGCTATTTTTTGATTGTAGCCATCATTGTTTGGCGGGCTTCGGCTGGATTCGAACCCACCGGCTCAGGTGTATGTGGCTGGCGCCTTAGCCACTTTAGCCACAGGCACTGAGCCCATTCATTCATTTTTAACTGACAACAAAAAATTGTACTTTTTTTTTTTAAGAAAGAGTCTCACTGACAACCCTCAATAGAATGCTATAGTGTCACAGCTCACAGCAACTTCCAACTCTTGGGCTTAAGCAATTCTCTTGCCTCAGCCTCCCAAGTCAGCTGGGACTACAGGCACCCACCACAACACCTGGCAATATTTTTGTTGCAGTTGTTTAGCTGGCCCGGGCCAGGTTCAAACCCGCCACTTTTGGTGTATGTGCCTGACGCTATAACCACTGTGCTACTGGTGCCAAGCCAAACTGTACATATTTTAATGCTATATAATGGGATGTTTTGCTATATGTGGTATAGACACATAAAGGAACGATTAAATGTAATTAACATAGCTACTACCTTATCTACTTATCATTTTTCTGATGAGAACATTTAAAATCTATTTTAGCAATTTTCAAGTCTACTACTATACATTAACATCAGTGATATTCACCATGCTGTACAATAGATCTCCAAAACTTAGTCGAATGGAAATACGTAGCCTTCCACCAACATCTCCCTGCTCCCCCTACCCTCACCACTAGTAACCACCATTCTACTTTCTGCTGTAAGTTCAGTTTTTTTTGGATTCCACACATAAGTGAGATCACACAGCATTTGTCTTTCAGTGTCTGGCTTGTTTCATTTAACACAATGTCTTCCATGTTCACCTGTGTTGTTGCAAATGACTTACTCCAGTATTTAATCAGAAAAAGAAGTAAAATGAGCCATTTTCCTTCTTGTGCTAAGCAGGTAGCACAAATTCCTTCTTTTTAAAATATATATGCCTATCATCCTAGCACTCTAGAAGTCCAAAGTGGGTGGATTATCTGAGCTCACAAGTCTGAGACCAGTCTGAGCAAGTGCGAGACTCCGCCTCTAAAAATAGCCAGGCATCTATAGACCCAGCTACTCAGGAGGCCAAGGCAAGAGAATCGCTTGAGCCCAAGAGTTAGAGATTACTGTGAGGTATGATGCCACAGCACTCCACTAAGGGTGACAAAGTGAGACTTTGTCTCAAAATAAATAAATAGGGCCGGGGGTGGTGGCTCATGCCTGTAATCCTAGCACTCTGGGAGGCCAAGGCAGGTGGATTACTTGAGCTCACAAGTTCAAGACTAGCCCGAGAAAAGCAAGATCCCACCTCTACTAAAAATAGAAAATCTGAGGCAAGAGGATTGCTTCAGGCTAAGAGTTTGAGGGTGCTGTGAGCTATGCCATGGCACTCTACCCAGGGCAACAGCTTGAAATTCTGTCTCAAATAAATAAATAAATATATAATAGGTATTATAATTAATATTGTTGATACTTGGCTGCCTCACCCCCATAATCCAACTTTAATCTGTAGCCACTGTGACTTTGGGGCCGTTGGAGCTCTCCTAAGTACCTGCTTTGGCCTGAAGCTGACACAGAAGCTTCCTTCTAGGCTGACACCAGAGATCCAGGTTAGCATTCCGGGGACAAGTCCTCTGCCACTTGACTATATTCATTCCCTCATCTATCCAGAAGGTTGAAGTGTCTGAGGGCCAGTCAAAAGGCCGAGCTGGTTATCCCCCACTGTCAATGTACTGGAGAGGAACAGGGGGACCCAGCACTATGCTGGTTTTTCTGTCAAATTCTGGCTTAAAAATGGGAAACCGCAGGTGGCGCCTGTGGCTCAGTGAGTAGGGCGCTAGCCCTATATGCTGAGGGTAGTGAGTTCAAACTCGGCCCTGCCCAAACTGCAACAAAAAAATAACTGGGCATTGTGGTGGGCACCTTAGTCCCAGCTACTCGGGAGGCTGAGGCAAGAGAATCACCTAAGCCCAAGAGCTGGAGCTTGCTGTGAGCTGTGTTGCCACAGCATCCTATTGAGGGTGACAAAATAAGACTCTGTTGCTAAAAAAAAAAAAAAGGAAAACACTGCTCACCAGTTACTACAGACTTCTCTTCAGTGCTAAGAAATCATGGCCATGACAGTCTCATTAAAAAAATATCATTATTGGGCAGCTCCTGTGGCTCAAAGGAGTAGGGCACCAGCCCCATAGGCCACAGGTGGTGAGTTCAAACCCAGCCCTGGCCAAAACTGCAAAAAAAGGAAAAAAAATCATTATTGTATGATATAAAACAATAACTCTTACTTTATTCTCCCTTAACCAGGTTACGAAATAAGTTTCCATGTTGTAAATGATAGGAAACAATGGTGATTTCCAATCTTTCCATTTACAGGGCTTTCATTACTACTCAAAAATAATTATTGGTGAGGACTTCCAGAAGTACAGAAATCTCAGAAGTCAACTTCCGGCTTGGCGCCTGTAGCCCAGTGGTTAGGGTGCCAGCCACATACAGAGGTTGGCGGGTTCAAACCCAGCCTGGGCCAGCTAACCAACGACAACTATAAAAACAACAAAAAAATAGGTGGGCGTTGTGGCAGGTACCTGTAGTCCCAGCTACTTGGGAGGCTGATGCAAGATAATCACTTAAGCCCACGAGTCTGAAGTTTGTTGTGAGCTGTGACACCACAGTACTCTACTGAGGGCTACGTACTGAGACGGTCTCAAAAAAAAAGGAAGTCAACTTCCACCCTACATACCACATTCCAATACTGGAAATTAAGTGAATGATTGCAACTCCACAGTCCCAGGCTCAAGCAATCCTCCTGCCTCAGCCTCCCTAGTAGCTGAGACAACAGGCGCCCTCCACAGTGCCCAGCTTGATCCTCCTGCCTCAGCCTCCCACCATGCCCGGCCAATCTCACACATTTAGACTAAGGGCTTTGATGCTGCTTCCTTAGCTAACATCACTTTGCAAAAGAACTTTCAAAATAGGCTGGAAGATAAGGTTTTAATTTGGTACTCTTAATGGGTAACATCTTTATAAGTAGGTAAATCTGCAAGCTTGAAAATTTCTTTTCAGGTTTAGTTTTAGGTTCACTGTATCTCTCTTTGATGAACACATCACAAAGTTAGATAGATGAGGCTAACTGTATCAGAGCTTCTTAGAAAAAGAGTATAAACTGTTATAACTAGTTTTTCCAGTTATACAAAAAAGTATAATTGTAATCTCTGTCCTCTTCATAAATTAATGACAAACTCGTGAGAATCTAATAAAGCTATTTTAATAGGTGTAAACAATTCTAATCTCTTTTCTATATTCTTGTATTGACTAAATTATTCACACACTCTAAAAAAATTCTTTCATGGGGCGGTGCCTATGGCTCAAAGGAGTAAGGCACTGGCCCTATATGCTGGAGGTGGTGGGTTCAAACCCAGCCCCAGCCAAAAACTGCAAAAAAAAAAAAAAAATATTCCTTAAGAAATTTGGCAATATGGGGCGGCACCTGTGGCTCAAAGGAGTAGGGTGCCAGCCCCACATGCTGGAGGTGGGGGGTCCAAACCCAGCCCC